AAGGTTTTGTGTGTGTGTGTGTGTGTGTGTGTGTCTATCTTCTTCAGTTCTTCTCCAATCTTAGTCATTTCTTGTTTTCTGTTGGCTTTTGACTTTATTTGTTCTTGCTTCTCTAGTTTTTAAAATGTTGGCATTAGGGTGTTGATTTTAGATCGTTCCTGCTTTCTCTTTTGGGCATTTAGTGCTGTAAATATCCCTATACACACTGCTTTAAATGTGTCCCAGAGATTCTGGTATGTTGTGTCTTCATTCTCATTGGTTTCAAATAACATTTTTATTTCTGCCTTCATTTCGTTATTTATCCAGTAGTCATTTAGGAGTAGGTTGTTCAGTTTCCATGCAGTTGTGTGGTTTCGAGTGAGTTTCTTAACCTGAGTTCTAATTAATTGCACTGTGGTCTGAGAGACCGTTTGTTATGATTTCCATTCTTTTGCATTTACTGAGGAGTGTTTTACTTCCAATTATGTGGTCAATTTTAGAATATGTGCAATGTGGTGCTGAGAAGAATGTATATATTATTGATTTGGGGTGGAGGGTTCTGTAGATGTGTGTTAGGTACACTTGGTCCAGAGCTCAGTTCAAGTCTTGAACATCCTTGTTAATTTTCCATTTTGTTGATCTGTCTCATACTGACAGTGGAGTGTTAAAGTCTCCCACTATTATTGTGTGGGAGTCTAAGTCTCTTTGTAGGTTTTGAAGAACTTGCTTTATGAATCTGGGTGCTCCTGCATTGGGTGCATATATATTTAGGATAGTTAACTCTTCTTGTTGCATTGATCCCTTTACCATTATGTAATGTCCTTCTTTGTCTCTTTTGAACTTTAATGGTTTAAATAAAGACTGTTTTATTAGAGTCTAGTATTGCAACTCTTGATTTTTTTTTTTTTCTTTCCATTTGCTTGGGAAATATTCCTCCATTCCTTTATTTTGAGCCTATTCATGTCTTTACATGTGAGATGCATCTCCTGAATACAGCACACCATTGGGTCTTGACTCTATCCAATTTGCCAATCTGTGTCTTTTAATTGGGGCATTTAGCCCATTTACATTTAAGGTTAATATTGTTATGTGTGAATTTGATCCTGCAATTATGATGCTACTGGTTATTTTGCCCCTTAGTTGATACAGTTTCTTCCTAGCATCAATGGTCTTTACAATTTGGTATGTTTTTGCAGTGGCTAGTACTGGTTGTTCCAGTCCATGTTTAGTGCTCCCTTCAGGAGCTCTTGTAGGGCAGACCTGGTAGTGACAAAGTCTCTCAGCATTTGCTTGTCCATAAAGGATATTATTTCTCCTTCATTTATGAAGCTTAGTTTGGCTGGATATAAAATTCTGGATTGAAAATTCTTTTTTTTAAGAATGTTGAATATTGGCTACCACTCTCTTCTGGCTTGTAGGATTTCTGATGGGAGAAACCCGTTAGTCTGAAGAGAGAGCCCATTAGTCTGATGGGGTCCCTTTGTGGGTAACTTGATCTTTCTCCCTGGCTGCCCTTAGCATTTTTTCCTTTATTTCAACCTTGGTGAATCTGACAATTATGTGTCTTGGGGTTGCTCTTCTCGAGGAGTATCTTTGTGGTATCTCTGTATTCCTAGGTTGGGGAAGTTCTCCTGGATAATATCCTGAAGAGTGTTTTCCAACTTAGTTTTATTCTCTGTTACTTTTAGGTACACTGATCAAATGTAGATTTGGTCTTTTCATGTAATCCCATATTTCTTGGAGGCTTTGTTCATTTCTTTTCACTCTTTTATCTCTAATCTTGTCTTCTTGCTTTATTTCATTGAGTTGACTTTCAATCTCTGATATCCTCTCTTCCATTTGGTCAATTTGACTATTGAAACTTGTTCATGAAGTTCTCGTGCTGTATTTTTCAACTCCATCAGGTTGTTTATGTTCTTCTCTAAACTAATTATTCTAGTTAGCATTTTGTCTAACCTTTTTTCAAGTTCTTAGCTTCCTTGCATTGGGTTAGAACATGCTTTTTTAGCTTGGAAAAGTTTGTTACTACCCATTTTCTGAAGCTTACTTTTGTCAACTTGTCAAACTCATTCTCCATGCAGTTTTGTTCCTTGCTGTTGAGGAGCTATGATCCCTTAAAGGAGAAGAGACATTCTGGTTTTTGGAGCTTTTAGCCTTTTTACACTGGTTTCTTCTCATCCTTATGGATTTATCTTCATCTGGTCTTTGAGGTCAGTGACCTTTGTTTGGATGGGGTCTCTGAGTGGATGTCCTTTTTGTTGATGTTGAAACTGTTTCTTTCTGTTCGTTAGTTTTCCTTCTAACAGCCAGGCCCCTCTGCTACAGGTCTGCTGAGATTTGCTGGAGGTCTACTCCAAACTGCTTGCCTGAGAATCACCAGTGGAGATTGCAAAACAGCAAATATTGCTGCCTGTTTCTTCCTCTGGTAGCTTCGTCCCAAAGGAGTACCTGCCAGATGCCAGCCGGAGCTCTCCTGTATGAGGTGTCTGTCAGCCCCTACTGGGAGGTGCCTCCAAGTCAGGATACATGGGGGTCAGAGAGCCACTTGAGGAGGCAGTCTGTCCCTTATCATAGCTCAAATGCTCTGTTGGGAAATCTGCTGCTCTCTTCAGAGCTGCCAGGTAGGGACGTTTAGGTCTGCTGAAGCTGTACCCACTACCACCCCTTTTCCCAGCTGCTCTGTCCCAGGAAGGTGGGGCTTTGTTTATAAGTCTCTGACAGGCTGCTGCCTTTTTTCAGAGATGCTCTGCCGGGCGAGGACATCTATTGAGGCAGTGCCTGAGGCTTCTGAGCTGTTGGGCTCCACCCAGTTTGGAATTCCTGGCAGCTTTGCTTACACTGTGGTGTTGAACCTGCCTACGTAAGCCTCAGCAATGGCAGATGCCCCTCTCCCCACCAAGCGTGAATGACCCAGGCTGAGCTCAGACTGCTGTGCTGGCTGTGAGTTTTTAAGCCACTGGATCTTAGCTTGCTTGTCTCCGTGGGGGTGGGACCTGCTGAGCCAGACCACTTGGCTCTCTGGTTTCAGTCCCCTTTCCAGGGGAGTGAACAGTTCTGTCTCACCAGTGCTCCAGGCACCACTGGGACATGAAAAAAAACTGCTGCAGCTAGTTCTGTTTCTGCCCAAACTGCCACCCAGTTTTGTGTTGGAAACCCAGGGCCCTGGTGGTTTTGTAGGTACCAGAGGGAATCTCCTGGTCTGTGGGTTGTGAAGATCTTAGGAAAAGCGTAGTATCTGGCCCCAAGTGCAAGAAACAATCCCCAGTGGCTTCCCTTGGCTAGGAGAGGGAGCTCCCCAGCCCCTTGTGCTTCCTGGGTGAGGTGATGCCCCACCCTGGTTTGGCTTGCCCTCCTTGGGCTGCGCCCACTGTCCAACCAGTTGCAATGAGATGAACCAGGTACCTCAGTTGGTAATCACCTGCCTTCTACATCAGCCTTGCTGGGAGCTGTGAACTGGAGCTGTTCCTATTCAGCCATCTTGCCTGGGGCCCGTTTTTTCCCAGAACTAGTATTTTTAAAGATAATTTAAGATTTCCCTGCCAGGCCAGTCTGGCAAGTACAGCTTCTTAAGTCTATAAGAGATTATGCCTCTAATATTTTTATTGTTGAAGAGATAATATACAGTAGGATTTCTTTGCACTTGAATTTCCAAATATGGGATATTTTCTTGTTCTAAATCAAAGTATGAAATGTCTTTTTAAAAAATAATGAAACCACCATCACTGATGGATGGATTGATTGTTAGATGTAAGATGATATGATAAAGCCAGTATAATATGTACAACTTTAATAGCAAAATCTAGATGATGAGTATAGAGATGTTTACTATAAAATTCTTTCAACTTTGCTGTATGCTTGAGAATTGTTTTCATAACATATTAGAGAAAATACCACATAAAGTTTGAATCTCTGTGAAAGAGAAATGGAAAAAAATCTTGGATTTCATTATAAAAGTTCCTTATTTAAAGCCAAATAAACTTTGTAAGGTTTAGAGGAATTATATTTTGAAAGTTTTTTCTATGTGTATCCAAGCACATTTTAATAACTTCCACGAACTAAGAGTTTCTCAAAAACAGGTTGTGTCTGTTCTTCTTTACAGAAGTTCTCTATCCAAAATAGTTTCAGGAAGGAGGTTTCCGTGATACAGGCTTAAAATAAAAATTGAGTTAAAAAAAATTTTTGGCTGGCTGAACTGGGTGCCAGAAGATACTGGTGTAGATAAGGCTTCCTCCCCATGCACTCATGCTCACCACAGGGCTTTTGTTTTTTAGCTGGAATAGGAGGGATGTGTTCTGTTGAAGGCATAGGCTATAAGAAGATTTTAAAGGGATGATGTCAGCTTTGCCACCTGTCCCTAGAAATGGGCTTGATCCCTCAGGATTAGAGAAATAAAAGCCAGAAAGCAGACCTTCTGAAACTCTGGGCAAAAGCAGACCTGCCGTGTGCCCTCCATGAATGGGTGTCCAGAAAGTGAAGAAAAAGGCCATTCTTCCAACTCTGTGTGGAAGTCAGGTGGACTGCAACATCTTGACCACTTCCAGCTTGGGGAACCTCTGATAACCAGCATCCTTAGCATGGACAGTTTTGTTCTCAAAGTGCAAGCCTACGGCAGAAACCATGGTGGAGTTCAGTCACCCAGATACCTGGGCAGTGGTAAGAGCATCTGCATGGGAGAGGAAAAGGTGGAGGACCGAACATGAGCCTGCCATGACAGATTGGTTAGTAGGCACCTATGAGGCTCCCTCGGTGTTGTACAGAAACAAATGAGGAATACTCTGAGTTAGTTTTTCATCTGAGCTTAGGTTTACTTAAAAGCCTTGCCTGGAGTGGGAATTCTTGCCCAAGTGACTGATTTGAGTACTGTTCTTGGAAGAAGCGCATGAGAGAAGCAGGATAGGGAAGGGGAAGAAAGCTATTCAAGAACGAGGTCTTGGCTGGAAGTTAGCTTTCATCGGATCCCATGCATGGATTCTGGAAATGGATCACATCACATAATTGGCCTTTTGTACTCCATGTTCCAGGCAGTCATTGGCTGATGTTGGCCCCCCAGCCCCAAGCGTGGAGGGTTGGAATAGCCTTCCTAATGAAGAGGTTCCTGAGGGCAATTCTTTGAAGAAAAGGGAAGCTGTTCCTGGTTAAAAATCCCGAACTTAGTAGTGAGTGCTTGGTCTATAAAGGAGAGCTGGCTGGAGCGTCAAGAGTTATCCTCTGCTTCTGTTTTCTTCTTTCCCAGGTGGGAGTTTCAGAGTTATTGTAATTTAGATATAAGCATAAATGTGATCCTCATTTTATAGTCACAGGCTTGTGAATGCAGGTGTATTAACCAAATATTGACCCTAGATTAGCTTTAAGCATATAGACTAATTGAATTTTTCCTGAGATAAGGGCCAAAAATGAGTTAAGTACTTTTTATTTGGAGACGTTACTTGACGTTACCTGATTTATCTGTAACATTTGTAAGCTCCATACTTATGATTTAAAAAAATGTTTACGAATATTTTATAATATCAAAGAGGTAGCAATAGTATGGGAAGAGGATTTGATTCAGAGTTTGCTTATAGAAATTCTGATCTTGTTTCTACCATTTCTGTGGCTTCATTCAAGTCTCTATAGCTCTCTGGGCCTTTATTAGATGAGGCACAATAACATTTCTACAACATTATCAGTGTTTTCCTTATTGCATCTGTGAGGTAATAGGGAGCCATTGAAAGTCTTCAAACAGAAGACAATTTCCTGAAGTTGGAAAATATCTTTGAGGAAGATAAGCCCAGCAATTCTGTGTGTAACTGCCTGGAGGAATGAGAAGCCTGATATAATCATTGAGGCCTGAGGTATAAGGCCTTCCTTGCCTCCTCCCCAGCCCGTCTAGATTAAAGTTCCCTCCTGAATTCTCTAAAGGCACCTTGCAATTATATGTTCTATGTTTATTTTATCCACTAAATTTTACTTTGCATAATGTCAGGAACCATACCTGTCTCATTTATCATTGCATATCCAGAGCTGAACACGGAATCCAGCAAATATGTGCTGAATAAATGAAGGTTTTGAATAAAACAGAGGAATGCAGTTGAATTCAGTAGATACTGGCTGAGCACAAGTGACAGATCTTGGTCTGTGATGAAAGAGTCACAGGTAACTTTAAAGCTCTGAGCCCAAGTGGACAGTAAGAAAGCAGTTGGAAAGGTAAGTCTTCTGTTGCTGCAAAATAATTTACCACCACCTATTGAATTCACACGATACCACAATTTCTGTCAGGAGTCCTGGCACAGCTTAGCTGGGTCCTCCTCTACTCAGAGTCGCCCTCCACTACTCAGAGTCGCCCTCCACTCAGAGTTGCACGAGCGGCCAGCTGATGTTCTTATCTGGAGCTTGAGAGTCTTTTCTAGGCTTATTCAGATTCTTGGCAGCACTTAGTTCTTAATGACTATAGGACTGAGGCCCTCAGCTTCTAGAGGCTGCCCTCTCCAACAGCAGTTCACAACATGGTCATTTGCTTCTTCACAGTCAACAGGAGAGTGTTTGTCTCTCTTGCTTTGAGTCTCTCCTTTCAGGGTAGGCCTGTACCCAGGTTTAAAGGCCTCATCTGATTAGGCTGGGTCTACCGAGGATAGTCTCCCGTTTGATAAACTCAAAGTCAGCTGATGAAGGACATTAATTACATCTGCTATGTTCCTTCACCTTTGCCATATTCTGTGAATTAGGAGGAAGTCACAGTTTCTAGCCACACTTAAGAGGAGAGGATACACAAAGGTCTGAATATCAGGTGGCAGAAATCACACACAGGGAGCCATCTTAGAATTCTGCTCACCACAATAAGTCAGCTCAGTTTTTGTCAGGTTTGGGTGTTAGTGGAAGACAATAAGCTATTCATGGGTCAAAGTCAGACCTGTGGATTTGACACAGTGGATGCTACGAGAGAGGGTTCATTACCCAGAGAGGAAAACGAAGGGCCAAGAACACTCTTGGTCTTGGGAGGATGTTTAATATTTAGGGAAGAAAGCGGACCTAGCAAAGTGAATGTCAGAGAGACAGTAATAGTGAAATGTCACATAGTGTGACTGAGAATGAATGTAGCAGCAACTAAGGAAGATGTTGGTGCAGTCCACTCACTTAACTATGCAGTGGCCTTAGAGATAGCTGTTCGGGGCAGTGGTGATGTTAGAGTCAAGGTTGAAGTGAATTAATGGGGCCAGGGATGTCAAAATGGTGGAAGAAGGCTTCTGAGATGTCCCATCCCAGTCCAGGGCAGGCCAGGCTGGGAGGCTCACATGGTTTCTAGAAGAGAATGAGCCTGTTCTCAGGCGCTTTCATTCTAGCTCCACCTATGTCACCCTCAGCTGACTTTCATTCTGGGAGGTGTGGGGTGGCAGCACAGTTTGTATTGGGGCTGCCTCTTGGCTCTTCTGGGAAAGGGAAAATGACACTTAGCAGAAAACACAAGTAATCTACCAACATGGGGAAATCTGAGGTAGGGAGCCTTTCTGCTCTCTGAATTAAAAATGGATTCTTCTATCTCATCCTGTGAGTTGAATTTTTAATAACTAGTACAAATCCTTACTTGGTTTCTTTCTGGCCAGGCCTTATTTCTTTCAAGCCAGGAGCCCAGCTGTCCTTGCTGTTTTGTAGAGATCAAGTAGAATTTGGAGGAAATGAAATGGTAGGAAGGATTAAGCAATTGCTGGACCCCAGACAGACATTCTGAGGCTCTTGAAATAACCAGCATTGAAAGGGGGTGTCATTAATCAAGTGCAGTGTTGCCATATAGAAGCTAAATTTAATTCTAATGTAACAAATCCATAAATGAGACTGTTTTTCTTTCCTCTGTCCAACTTTTCTCTTTCATTCAAAAGATAACCTGCAATAATTTTGTTTTATTATGAGAGCTTTATAGCTAAAAAAAAAAAACACACACACACACACAATATTAGGCATCAGATTCTACTAATATGGCAATAATAATGTCTGGCTTTCTTGTCTCTCACTTTCATTATTAGTTACAAAAATGTACTTCCATCACAGAGTAATTAACATAAGTATCTCACCATCTTTTTTACTTTATCATTTATCCCATGTTAAAACTTCCTGGATATAAATACTATGTGTAAAGAAATAGGATTAAAACCTACAGCTCTAAGAGTTTATAATCATCTCTGCAGCCTGCAGTGTGTTCATCTAACATTTTAAATAGATTTTTCCATCATTTGAAACCAATAGGCTAAGTGCTATGCACACTGTTGAAAGTGTATTTCACGGCTCATTGGGCTTTTCTGTCTTTAACTTTCCAATATATGTAATTTGATTAAAATTTTTGGCTGGTCAGGATGAGAAGGAATAGACAGAAATTGCTCTTAACAGAATCTCCAGTGTGCCTAGTATTATAATTGAAGCCGAAATGAACATCTTTCTCTGTAGGAAGCTAAAGAAAGTCTTTGTTCCATTTTTACATGGGAGATCATCTGTTATTGTAACCTAGACACCTAAACCCACTCCAGATTCAAAATGTGCCATTTATAAACATGCATGCCAAGTTTCAAATGCCCTTTTTGAATGTTTGCATATAATTTGAAGCTTGCAACACCAAAGTAAAATACAGTTTCCATTGTATTGCATCTCCCACACTGCATGTGAGGTGCCTCTTTTCTCTGACATTGCTTGAATAGAGGAAGCATAGTCTGACTTTGTTCAAAAAGAGGAATGTTTCTCAGCTCAACTGAAATGATTGCTAGGTATACGCTGCCAACTTCATTTTCCCCCTGCAGAAATGTACATTTTTCCCTATTATAAAATGTACTCATAATAGAAATGAGACAGTTCCCAGGAGTGTGATTATCCAAAGGTAATCTCAACCAATCTGATTAGAGGCACGTGGCTCATGCCTCAAAATGCTCCAGGGTATGATTATTTTATGATAACCATACTCTGTATCATGTCTTATTGATTAACTAATAAAGCGTCAGTATTGCTATTTAGAAGAAAAGCTGAGAAACCAGGGAAAGGATAACTGGTTCTAGAAAGGAAGTGATTCTTTCAGAATGCCCAAACTACCTCTTTTGCGCCACCTTTTTACAATTTCAGGTTGTGCATGAGAGATAAGTACACGCCTATTTTAGTATCTTTGGTGATAAGCTCATTAAATATGATGCAGTTAGTTACATATAAATGGACCCTAAGTTGCTACCTCTCCCTGTTATGAACACTGACTTTGTGAGAGCAGAGTGACATTCCTTTAAAGAATGCTGTACTCTTTTCTCATCATCCAGATGGCTTGATCACCCAGGTCCAGAGAGATATAGATAGAACCTGAAAAACACAGTACCTAGCTTGCCTGTAGTACCTAGCTTGCCTATAGTAGCTGTACAATTCTGGTCAAATCACCTAGCATTGGATGAGAAGAGCATATGGCTAGCAGGCAAATGTTTTGCAGATACAATAGCTTTGGGGCTCTCACTAGGTATGACAACATTCAAACATCCACAATATTCTTATCATTCCCCAAAACTATGACTACACAGCTACAGGAAAAGGTGGGGTGAGGGAATTGAAGCGATTATCTTAGGTGACTCAATTGCACAACCTACTTTGTCACAATTACTTTATGTTTTCTTTGTAAATATAAGCTTATGGCCTGAATTACCAAGTTCATAGCTCCAGAATTCCATTTCCTCTTCCTATGTAGACACAGCTAATATATTCAAATTGAAACATGTTCCACAAGTAAGAGTGGCCAACTCTAGTTCTTGGTGATGTATCTTTTTGATCAAATTTAACTGTCTGAGAAGTAGAATCAAGTCAGTTCTGTTATAATTGGTCAAGAGTTACCAGGTGCCAGTCAGGAGATCTTTCCCTCCTCAATTCATTTCCGTGGCTATACATTATTGATGTCATCTGAGCAGAATAACACTTTGAGAAGATATGCATAAGGTTAGCTTAATTTATACATGTCTGCTTTAAGTATCCCACTATTCACAGAGCCAGTGGTATTTTTATCTTCAAAATCCAAACCTGCTAGAATGAAATTTCTGCTAATTTCCCAAAGAACATTTCACTAGAACCTCTATCTTTAAGATCTAAGTATAGTGTTTGCCTCAGAACCCATCTAAACTACTTTCAAAAGGCTCTTAAAATTGATTAAACTGATCACATAACACACATCTTCCTATTAGCTCGATGCTGCTTCTCTCCTTTGCTAAAACAGAATTTTACTGCTCAACTCCTTTTTCTCCTGTGATAGTACCTTTCCCCTTTCACCCCCCCATCAGACTTTCTGTTTGTTTGTGTTGTTTGTTTCTGCTGGATAAACACACTTGCTCTAAATTATCTTTGGCATTCTTGCTCAGTAGGATGTGGACACTCTGCCTTCTAGCCTCTCACAATTAAGGGACCATGGGAACCCTAAAGACTGATGATGATGGCATTTGTCCTAAGAGGAGTTGTGCAAGAAGAGCTTCCCTTACTCTTTGCTGGAGAATAAAGAGCCAACCACTCTGCTGGTTCTGAACTTCTTCTCAGACATTAGTGGCTCCTGCTATTTCCATGTTTTTCAACATGGATGAGTGATGTCTGACATTCTTCTCATGTTTTTCTTTCCTGCTTGCACTTAATTGAGGTGTTTCTTTTTGACAATGAGGAGCAGAAATAACTTACACATATGAAAACATGAAAGATGTTGTATGCTCTCCTATCTTTTCATTTCTGTGTCTCTGGCGATCTTTTTGAGCTGTGTAGTTCAGTAAGCCCTCATTCAAGTCAGCATGGGCTAAGTTATGCTGCAGTAAAAAACAACCTAAAATTATAGTGTTTTAAAATAACAAAGATTTTGTTCTCACTACAGGTCCATAATGAGAGAATAGGATCCACCCCACACATCTTCACTGTCAGACCCAGGTTATCAGGAACACTGCTGTGCACTACAGCAGAAAGAGAGCTCTGGAGAGTCTTGCATCAATCAAGTACTGTGGCCCAGAGATGATAGGTATCACCTGTGCTTCCATCTCATTGGCCAACATCATGCACATCATCCATCCAGCAAGGATTACACCAACGTGGGCAGACAAGACTCCAGTGGATGCCTGAAACTGTGGATAGTAACAAACCCTGTGTTTTTCCCACCTGACAAGTGAGATGGCTACTAACTGGCTAACAAGTGGGAACATCTAAAGCATGGAGACACTGGAAAAAGAGAGGATTCATGTTCCTGGTGGAAAAGAGGGGGAAGGTTGGAGACTTCATCATGATATTCAGAATGGCTCACAATTTAAAACTTAGGAAGTGTTTATTTCTGGGATTTTCCATTTAATATTTTTAGACCTCAGTTGACTGCCATTTATTATGGGTAACAGAGCCCTGGTAAATGAAACCTCAGAGAAGGGGACTACTGTGCAGGGTTGTCAGCATCTAGAGTGGGGGATTGCTGGAAATGCTTGATGAACAGCATGAATGGCGATCTAATGCCCTCAACCAAAATGACAGAGACATCTTTTCTATCTTACAAAGAAGGCCATTTGCGTCTTCTCCCACATTGCCTAATAAATCCACATAGTACCTCAAAACCTTGGATTAGGCATATTCAGCAATAAATCCATTAGTTTTCTATTGCTGCATTAAAAAACACCCCAAACTTAGTGACTTTAAACAGCATATGTCTATTATTGAAGAGCTTCCCTGGCTGGGAATTCTGGATATGGGCTAGGTGGGTGGTCTGCTCGGGGTCTCACTCAGCTGGAATCAAGGGTCAGCCAGGGCTGCAAGTCCCTCAGAGGCCTCACATCCTCTGCTAGTCTCACTGGTCCTTGGCAGAATTCAGTTGCTTTGGGTTGTTGGAGTGAAGTCCCAGCTTCTTGCTGGTCATTGTTTGGGGACTACTCTGGGTTCTGCGGTGCCCTTGGATTTTTGCCGCATGTCCTCTTAGCAGTTCACAACACAGCTGTCTGCCTTTCCAACATGAGCAGAAGGAATCTCTCCCACTTCAAATATCTGAACTCTTGTATAGGCTTCCTGATAGCGTCAGGCCCACCCAGCATAATCTGTCTTTTGATTAACTCAAAGTCAACTACTTAGGGCTCTGAATTACATCTGTTTATACCTTCTGCCATACCCCATAACATATTGATATAGACAGTGATATTCTATTATATCCATAGGTGCCTTCACACTCAAGGGGAGGGAATTATTCAGGGCATTTACACCAAGGGGGGCAGGAATCTTGGGGGCCATCTTACTAATTTTGCCAACACGGAGACACAGAAGGGGAAGCCAGTCTTGAAAGCTGATTGATTTGCTGTGTTTGGGACTGTCTTATTAGCTGGCTTCATAGAATAACTTGTTGGAGTATTCAATGAATTAACAATTAAAAGACACACACACACACACAGAGAGAGAGAGAGAGAGAAAGAGAGAAAAGAAAGCTGATATGAAATGATTTGATTTGGTGCTGTAGGTAGAGAGGGCCATGAGGGGAGTGGGGAATCAGATCATCTTCCCAAGTGCCAAATTTCCAGTGTATCCAAACGTCACTCTGTCTCTTTAACAATGATATCTGTGGCATTCTTAGTTGGCCCTTGATAGTATATCTGATTGTATCTCCCTTTTGATTTCTTTTTGAGGTTTACTTCTGAAAACAACACTACTCTTTTCTTGCATGATTCTTTTCTTTTCTGGAGTGAACATTTGTTGTTCTGCTTCTTGCCCAACTTCTTAAGATGGCTCATTATTCTATAATATGTGCAGTATTGCCCAGAAGTAATTTTCCTTTTATTTTTGCCCACAAGGTGGAAAATTAAGGATGAAATACAACTTTATTTTTGCTTTTCCCAGAAGAGTTGACAAGGTAGTTTTTTTCTGCCTGTTTTTCTATTAGCAGTGAAATATTATTTTGGCTGTAACAGTAGACTACTTCATCCTATCTTGGCAAAAGTTTTATGTAGAGAGCCTCCTGCCCTTGTTTATGCCCCAGAGGCCCATCCTGGGGTCCTGAAGGATAGAAGGAGATTTCTACCCACAGAGCCTCGGGGACCTGGTTTCCTGCCCTTTAGCCATGCTCAGGTATGTCTTTGCATGTCCTCCTTCTTTTTCTAATTGGGAGGCTTATTCTCAATCTCTCTATAATATTTCTGCTCAGGAAATACCACTTTTTAAACTGAAGAGATGACGCTCTAATGAAGACTTGAGCATCAATAGTATTGGCTTCTCTTTGGTGCTGAGTATGGACATACTAGTAGAAACACTGACCGAGGGGAACTCTGTACATTTTAAGAGACTTTCTCTTCCTTTCGTTATTTTGTCTCCTGCTGGCCGTCTTCATCCATTCCAACGTGATGGAGAATTTCAAGAATGGTAGTAGTAAAGAACTGTTAAGATTAACTATTAGGCCCACTTTTTTAGACCTTTTCTTCTGTTTGCCTTTCACATCATTTTATGACCAATACTAAGATGAACTAATTTGATGAAGAGCATTATTTTATTTTATTTTAGTTAAGGAACATTCTAAAAATCCATAGAAGAGTCCTGGAGCATCCATTCAGTATTTATTCAACACAAATTCTTGAAAAAGTACTGTGAGTACAGCGTTGCCCCAGCCACTTGAGGCATATAAGAAAGATCTGGTTTCTGCTTCAAAGAGAATAGTTGGTGAAAAGAACGTAAGTTCAGAATCAGACAGACCAGGGTTTAAATCCTTATCCTGCTACCTGCTGGGTGTAAATCTCATGCATATTCCATATTTCCCTATGTCTCAGTTTCCTGTCTGTGAAATGAGTGTTATGAACCCTGTTTCCTTATATTGTGAGTATTAAAAGACTCCAGTAAGATGAAAAATATATTACATCATGACCAAGTTAGGATTATATGAGAAATGGATGAATAATTTAATATTAAAAATTCCATAAATAGATTCTACCCATTAACCAATTATTAGAGAAAAACCATATGGTCATCTCAGTAGATACAGAAAACACATTTGAAAAAAACAACGTGGTTTGGCTCTGTGTCCCCACAGAAATCTCATCTCGAGTTGTAATCCCCACGTGTCAAGGCAGGGACCTGAAGTCCCCATGTGCCAAGGGAGGTAAGTGATTGGATCATGGGGCAGTTTCTCCCATGAGCTGTTCTTGTGATGAGTGAGTTCTCACAAGATCAGACGCTTTTAGAAGTGGCAGTTTTTCCTGTGCTCACACTCACTGTCTCCTGCCCCCTTGTGAAGAAGGTACCTGCTTCCCCTTATGCCTTCTGAGATGACTATAAGTTTCCTGAGGCCTTCCCAGCAATGTGGAACGGTAGGTCAATTAAAACTCTTTTCATTATAAATTACCCAGTCTTGGTTATATCTTTATAGCAGTGTGAAGACAAACTAGTACAAAAACTTCAATATTTAATCATGATTAAAAAAAAAAACTCTTAGCCAGCTCCTATGAACTTCCTTTACTGGATAATGTACCTACCAAAAACCTAGAGTAATATCTTTATTAATGATGAAAAGTTAGAAACATCTATTTAAAATCAGTCCTTAGATAATAATGGTCATCTGTCACCAGTTCTTTTCTTTTTTTTTTTTGAGACGGAGTCTCATTCTTGTTACCCAGGCTGGAGTGCAATGGCGCGATCTCGGCTCACCGCAACCTCCGCCTCCTGGGTTCAGGCAATTGTCCTGCCTCAGCCTCCTGAGTAGCTGGAATTACAGGCACACGCCACCATGCCCAGCTAATTTTTTGTATTTTTAGTAGAAATGGGGTTTTGCCATGTTGACCAGGATGGTCTCGATCTCTTGACCTTGTGATCCACCCACCTCGGCCTCCCAAAGTGCTGGGATTACAGGCTTGAGCCACCGCGCCCGGCCCCCTGTCACCAGTTCTTTATCCAAAATTATACTGGACTTACTAGCAAACACAGCAAGACATGAAAAAGAAAGAAAATCATAAGAACTGAAAAGCAAGAAACACGGCTCCTAGTAGTTATGGAGGATATGACCACTTAACAAAAGAACCCAATGCATCCTATATACAAAGCATTGGGGTTTAAAAGAAAGGTTTTTAGGCTGGCTTGATCTATGATTAGTATATAAAAACCAATTTTATTGTATACTCTAGCCACAGACAGTTGGAAAACATATTTTTAAAGGTTTTTATTTATAAAGAACCTAGAAATTAATCTAACAGAATCTGCCAGGTCACTGTGGAAAAATTTATAAAATGCTTTTCAAGTCTTGATCCAGCTTATATTCCACACTCAATAATTGTAACCACTCAGATTATGGGCATGCTCAACTCCTTTACATTTTCCCTGCTTTAACATCATGGCCTGACTAAACTGAATTCATGGTTCTATCCAACATTTCCTCTAACCTATGCTTGCACCTGCGCAACTGAATGTGCTGGAATTAAATAACACAAACATGCTCACTGGCTTTACTTTAAATTCAGAATTGCCAATCTCATTTGAGCCCTACCAGAGACCTGCAATTATACTATCTTCCTTTGGTCCATTCGTGCTCCTCTTCTCTTAGACGAGTGTCTTCAGAATGGATACCTGAACATAGAATCACCATATGATCCAGAAATTTCACTTCTGGGTATATATCCAAAAGAATTGAAAGCAGGGGCTTAAATAAATATTTGTGTACATCATGTGCATAGAAGCATTATTCATATTGTCAAAAAGGGGAAACAACCCAAATGCCCATGGATAGATGGATAGATGGAAGGCATTATGCTAATTGAAACAAGCCAGTCACAAAAAACAGATATTATATGAGGTACCTGAATAGTTTCATAGAGACAAAAATGATCAGACTGGTTGCTAATGGCTGGGGAATGGAGGAATGAGGAGTCATTTAATGGGAACAGAGTTTGCATTAGGGATGATGAAAAAGTTCTGGAGATGTGTAGTGGTCATGGTAGTACCACAATGTAAATGTGCTTAATGTCACTGAACTGTAACTTAAATAAATGGCTAAAATGTTCAATTTAATGTTGTATGCATGTTTAACTACAATTTTGAGCGATACCAGCTTCTCTGCTTGCTCCAGATACATAAAGAATTCCTGAGACATGTTGGCAAGGATACTTTTAAGAGAGTCACTTTGCAGATTTACACTTTCCCCAAATTAACTTGCCTGAGAACATCTGGAATTCAGGAGTCTCCTTTCATAATTGCTCTTCTCTTTTTTATGAAAATAAGGGGAAAAAACCCATGCATCTTATCTGTTATGAATCTTAATATGCTCCATGGCCCAGTGCATAAGGAATTAGATACAGGCACAACCTGAAATATTGGTATTTGTGTTAAGAAAATAAATGACATTATTGGGGCATATAACTATTACAGCTCAGTTTCCTATTCTTTGCTTTTAATTAAACTGAAGAACTAATTAATTGTCAGTTGGTAGATCATTTAAAATAATTTTAATAATAGATGTAAAAATATTTGTAAAAATACTTTTTGGTAATAATATTTGTGATTTCTGCTACATAACTCAGAAGTATTTCAAAAATTTCATAACTTTGCTTTAACAAAACTCGTTCTCTTCCCAGCTGGTTATATAAATGAAATTACATCTTTTGCAATGATTTAAATTTATAATGAAAAATTTTAGTTGCCACTTAAAAAATATATGAGGAAATACCCATTTTCAAAATTATTTTAGGAGGTATGCAAGTGAAAAAAGTGATGATTGCTAAACTAGTGGACCGCCTCACATTATTTCCTCTCTTCTCAAAACAACTTCTCCCAGATTCTGTTAGCTGATGACCTTGCTTTCTATTGCACTGAGAAAATGGACATGATGAAAAGTGAATCTGCTCACCACAAACCACTCATCATATCTACACACCCACAAGCATCTGTACACACACACTCCACCATCCCATCCCTCCTGCTCCTAGAGATGAACTCTCCAAGCTGTTAACCCAAGCCCTTTCCTTGTGCTCCAGGCGCCACCTCTCCTTGCTTGTTCCAGGGCATTGCCTGCAATTTACTTCTCTTCTGCATCATCCATTTTTTGCCTTTATACTGGATCATTCCTATTAATATACAAACAGGCTGTTATTTCCTCTCATCTTAAAAACAACGCCTGTCTTGATCTACTTTTCCTTCCATTGGCCATCCATTTCTCTCATCTCTTTATATGTAATTTTACAATTTATAGCAGAATTCCTTGAAAGAGTTGTCTATTCTCAAGGCTTTAATTCCTCTCTCAGACCCACTTCAGTGAGGTCCCCCCTCCTACTACCATTGCTCTTGTCAAGGTCAACAAAAGACCTCTGCTTTGCTACGTCTAGTGGTCAGTTCTTAGGCCTCATCTTCCTGGACCTATCAACAGCAGGTGGCACATTTAGAAATAACTTCTTTCCTTGGCTTCCCAGACACCGTACCCTCGTGGAGTTCCTAGTTGCTTCTTCTCAGTCTCCTTTGCTGCTTCCTCCATCTTTATCCAGCTTCTAGGAACTGGACAAATCCAGAGTTTAGTCTCAGGCCTCTTCAAGATCTTTTCCATCTTTGTACATTGTCCAGTCATCTCATCCAGTCTCCTGGCCGTAAATTCCAGCTACACCAGCTTCTCTGCTTGCTCCGGGTAACTTCTCTTTCCCTCCAGATCTATTCTCTACCTTTCTCTTCCCTGGTCTCTACCCAGGAGATTGGCTTGTATGTACTTTATCTGTAGGTCTCTGTGCCTTCTGGATTCTGTCTAGTTGTGACTAACAGTGAATGGTGGCAAGATATTAAAGGGAAAGAGAAGAGTGATGTTGGGCTTTTTTCCCCTCAGCTCCAACTGTGTGAAGACATATAGCCAAAGATAATGTATCTCATGGGCCTCCTTGGTCATTATTATTTTTAAATATAGGGTCTCACTCTATTCCCCAAGCTCAAGTTTAGCGGCATGATCATAGCTTACTGCATCCCTGACCTCTTAGGCTCAAGTGATCCTCCCGCCTCAGCCTCCCTGGTAGCTGGGATTGCAGACTTGAGCCACCACGTTTGGGTAAAGCCTCCTTCTTGACACAATTCTCCACCTCCAAATTCCTGTAACTCCTGTCTCCCCTGTTCTTTGCTATTCCAAGTAGAGCACTGGTGTTTCACCAGCTCTTGTGTTTCCCTGTACTCCCGTTTGTAAAAATAGTTCCTTTGTAAATAAAACCCTCCTTCAATTTTTCTAATTTGAGTATTGCACTACTTTCTGTGGCGATCCTGAATGATATGTCCAAACGTCTAGCATCATTCAGAGCCTCCCTTCGGAGCTCCAGTCTTCTCTGTCCAGCAGGCTACAGGACACCACTTCTGAGACACCTCACAGCAACCTCAAACATCACGTCCAGTGTTGAGCTCCTTGCATTCCTTGCAGCCTGTTCTGCCTCCCCTTTTCTCATCTCAGCAAAGGCAACGCCATCCTTCCTGTTGCTGAGGCATGTCTCTTGGACTAATTTTTTATTGTTTCTCATGCCTCACAGTCCATCAACAAATACTGTCAGAGCTGCTATAGCTGGGAGGTGTTTTTCTCTTCCAAACCTCATGTTGAAATTTGATCCCCAGTGTTGGAGGTGGGACCTGATGGGAGGCGTTTAGATCATGGGTGTGGATGCTCCTGAATAGATTAACGCCCTAATAGAGTTAATGCCTTAATAGAGTCTAACAGAGTTCTTTCTCCATTACTTCCCTCAGAACTGGTTGCTAAAGAGCCTGGCACCTCCCTGCTCTCTCCTGCCTCCTCTCTCACCCTGTAGTCCCTGCCCAGGCTGGCTCCTCTTCACCTTCTGCCTTGATTGGAAGCAGCCTTAGGCCCTCACCGGATGCAGATACCCAATCTTGAATTTTCCAGCCATCGGAATCATATAAGCCAAATAAATCCTTTTTTCCTTTACAAATTACCCACCTTCAGATATTCCTTTATAACAACACAGTGCTTCTTTTCACTGGCCTCTTCTCACCACCCCATTGGCACTACGCTGGAGCATGCCACCATCAGTCTTCTCTGGATGAAATGGGCAAAAGCCTTG